CCCCAAAACCCCAAAACCCCAAAACCCCTTAAGGGAGGTGACTTATTGAGTATAAATATTATTAATCAAGTCGTACTTCAAAGATGAATTTGAATAAAGAAAGAAAAGTCTATGGAAGAAATGGACAACTAAAGAAAAGCTTCATGACTGTGAACAGATCAAGAATCAGGAGAAGTCTCTGTGTTGATATTGACAGCAAAGTTCTCAAGGTAAGTTCCCTTCTAAATTTTGCGCCTCTTTAACCTCATATAGCCAAGAGGTTCCTAAGACCCGATTGGCTATTTATATGTTCAATGAGCCTTTAAAAGCTCATTGGGGCTCTTACAACGAATATTTGCATAAATTTGAAGCAAAATTTAAGGCATCTTTAAGTAAATTTTCTAGTTTTACTTCTGGCATTTTTTAACCCAATTAAAAGAGTGAAAATATCTAAAAATATTTTGCAGAATAGAAGAGGATTAGCATTATAAATGCAAGCCTTAAATTTAGAAGGTTGAAAATAAATTTGTAGGCCAATTTTAGCCCTTTTTCAGAATTAATAAGAGGCATACACTTTCTGGTGAAAAGGTTAGAGTGAGTTTAATTTTTTTGAAATTTTTACTGCAATAGAGATGGATATAGGAGTATATAACTGAGTTCCAGCAAGTCTGATAGATATGAATGTTCTATTTACTATAACAAATCGATTTGCTTAGAAATTAGAAGGCTATAAAGAGTTTTAAAAATCCAAAACAAGGCGATTTCAATAACTAAATATTAGCTATATTAAAATTCAAGGAAAACGTGTCTATAAACTTGTAAACCTTCTTTTGTTCTTAAATTTGGTGACTATAACTATGAATAAGCGATGGAAATATAAATTGATACATATTTTCTTCAGTTAGAAATATTTATTTACAACTAGTTAAATATTTATGGGAAGAACAAGATAGAGTTTTAAGAATAGAAAATTCTTAAAATTCAGTGATTAAATCAATAAAAATCCTGACATTTTTTTCTCAATTCTTTTTCTAAAAAGAATTATTGCCTCCACCAAAATTTGAAATTGAAATGTTCACTTTTTGAGATTCCTTAGTTTAATAGTCATGAAATATTCTTATTATTGACAAATTACTCTTAATTTTGGGATTAAAATTTAAAGATTATTCAACTACATTATTAACAACAAATTAAATTTCATGGCTGATTCTTCTATTCACTTGAAAATCTTCTAAAGCTGGCACCGGATTTTCATTTAGCAAGTTTTTCACTCTTTAATTGTTCTATTTTTCTGTTATTCGGAACAAACAAGTTTAGCTAATAAAGCTAGAACACTTCAAGCTTTATCAGATCTCAATAAGTCCCCAAATATACTACTAAGCTTCATTTACTACAAATCATAGCAAATATTAATATTCTTTCATTATTTTATTGTTTCTAATTAGCTTTAGAACTCCATAATGCTACCTAAATTAAGAGATCCTTCTATAAGCATGCAAAAGCAGTTTGAAACCAATCAGATGGTTGTTAAACAAAAAGCCTCACCAAGTAAGAATCTGATATTTTTATGAATTTTTAATGTCTGTTAATATGCTTTTTTAAACAACCCCTTTATTTCGCGCCAATACGCATATATAGAGTTATTCTTATAGTTCATTATATCATATTTCCTAAAATTCTTCCTTAAATCAAGTAAAATATTAACCCCTAACTTACCTTTTCTTCCCCAAATTCCAGCCTAAACCCCTCAAAAATGACCTAAAATCCCCTTAATTTCCTCTTCAATAGCCTAGTTCCTTCCTCTGTCTGGGTCACTTGGCGCTGGCAAAGCCTGCTTCTGAATGAACAAGAAGAGATTTGGGGAGTAGAGGGTGGAGAAAGAAGGGATTTTGGAATTTAGGTGCTTATTTTGGAGTTTTTTTGGTGCAAATTTGGCCTGGATAAGTCTAGCTGTGGTTGGGTTTTGGGCTGAAAGTGGGAGTTTATAACTTTTATAGAAGGATCGGTTAAGAGAAGCTCTATTCAAATAGGGTAAGTTGGTCACCAGGATTTGATGAAAGTGATGAATTTATAGCAATATGTACTTATGGTTTCTTATAGCTTTGAAAACGAAAGAACTCTAAAAGTTATTGCTACCTTCAAAACCTTCCTTGTGAGGAAAGGATATAGAGCTTTCAGGTAAGTTTTCTCTATATCAGTTAAGTCTCTATTTATTAGAGCTTATTCACTTTTTTGATAGTTCTATTTAGCTGTTCTATCTGTTTACTAAAATATCTGTTAAATCTGTTCTAGAGATTTTGTGAAGGCTAAAACACTCCTTCTGGGAGGTAAACATTCGAATAAGGAACGCAATATTAAGAAGTTCTGAAGGTAAGTTTTCTCTTTCTCATAATAAGGGAGAAAAAGTGCAGCTATGAGATCATCTACAACATTTTGGCTAACAGAAAGATGAGAATATATATGAAGCCATTTCAAAGGAAAGAATCTTTGAATTGTATTCCTAAGTAAGCTAGATGCTATTTTGTTATTCTATTCAAGGTTCAGACAGCTCTTTTTATATATCTTTATGTCAGAGTTTAACCTAAGAGTCGATTTTTTAAATTTCTTATTCTTATAGGTACAAAAACTTTAAAGTATTCCGGAAAATGAACAAAAGAGATAAGATAAAGCCTGGAGAGGAGTGGAAACACACACAGATGTATCTTGGTGCTCATCTGTCTCCCTCTTGCATGCCTTCTCCAATGCAAGTCCCCTCGACAACAAAGGTACGAATCCTTATTATAAGAATCCTTGACAACCAAATACAGGAATTACCACAAAATTTCAATCAAATTTCTGAATTGTTTTAAATAACCTCCTTCTTTTTCCTCAATTAATACATTTCCATATGAATTTTACCTAAATCCAGACTCTTTATTCCTTAGATCCAAAGCATTCCTGGAACCTTGGCTAAATCTGTAGATATCTAGACTCGAAATAACCTCAACGGTACTATCTAAAGTTCTAATATACCTCAGTTCTACGTTAGGTTACACTTAAATATTCCACCTATATTTTCAGAGTTTGGTGATTAATTAAGAAAATTAGAAAAGTTTCGTATAAACTGGGGTAATTACTATAATCTCAACTCATTTTTGCTAAAGCAGAGACTGTTCAGCCTACTGAAGGGCCAGCTTTATATCTCCTTGTTTTTATAAATTTTAATAGTGATTCATAGTCCATGAATAATAAATATGTAAACTTAGATTTTGTTAGTTATATATTGAATAACTCAAAATACTAATTCTAAATATAGCCGAGGAAGAAGAGAGTGCTAGAATTCCAGTCTCCTTCGAACTCTAAGGGAAATATCACTTTTCTGGGACTTGAGGTGAGACTCCTAGTACTAATATATAGAGAAGGAAGTATAAAAACAAAAGAGATATATTAATGACTAAGGCAATTAAAAAGGTAAGTTTTATTAAAATAGAATTTAAGCATCTTTGTTGTATAAGTCTCATTTTTAATGAAAAGAGTTGATAATTCTCTGTTTGTGATACTCAAATCTTATCGCTTCTAAGGAATCCTAACCTTAATCTATAGCCTTACATTGGTATAAAAAAGTCAAATTCATCAGTGAAGGAATTTAAGTAAGCATAATATTCTAATAATTTCTAGGGTCTGTGTCCTACCTCCAGTCTGCAATTAATAAGCTGATTCTGAGCCCTTGCTAGAGAATATTGACGCTTTATGCTTTCTCAATAAAAATTCTCTAATTCATTGGCAATAAATATTGATTTCAATCTATTTTACTACCCCTGGGGTTTTGGGGTTTTGGGGTTTTGGGGTTTTGGGG